TCTTCGCCCAAACAGACAACGCATAGATCGTGTGTGTCATCGGGTGTCAAATAGCGATGACATGGATGCACACACCTTCTAAACGCTCTGCTAGTGCTTGCCATAATGAATAGAGATAGCTCTTACTTTTTCCTTGGAAATGCATGCTTCAAACAGAACAGTCAATGAAGACGAAGAAGAGGATGATGTGTGCTCCCGGCACCTATTTATACTATAGTCGCACCGGTAGTGACGTCATGGCTGTCGCCGGCCAACAAGTTGGTGTTTTTTCAATGTATGCTTCAGACACGGGTCACGACGAGGCGTCCCCCATAGCGACCCCTAGAGGACGCAGTTCGAAGTTCCCATGAAAGGGAACCTTTATTTGTGTATTTGTGAGATCAAAGATGTGTAAAATTAGCAACAATAGTAATTTCTAAATTGAATTATAGTTTTCCTTCAAGCCTGTTCCTGTGACCAGCAGTATTTGTTTGATACTGCAGCATTATAGTAAATGTTTCTTTCGGGTTAGTTTGACCTGATCAACCAACCAACCAACCAACCAATCCAAAAAGACAATTAGCAGCAGTGTACTTTTGCAATGGATTTATTTTTAAAAACAAATTAAAATGTTCGGCAAGGATGTGTTAAATTGATCAAAACTGACAGAAAATACATTTATAATTTTGCTAAAGATTTCATTTACTTCAAATAAATGCTGTTCTTTTGAGCTTTCTATTAATAAATGTATCCTGAAAAAATGCATTTACAGTTTCCACATCAATAATAAGCAATACAACTGTTTTCAACATTGATGATAATATTAAATGTTTCTTGAGCAGCAAATCAGTATATTAGAATGATTTCTGAAGGACCATGTGACACTGAAGACTGGAGTAATGATGCTGAAAATTCAGCTTTGCATCACATGAATAAATTACATGTTAAAATCTATTGGAATAGAAAACAGGAATTTAAAATTGCAATAATATCACATAATATTGCTGATGATATTTACTGTACTTTACTGTAATTAATGCAACTTTGGTGAGGATAAAAGAATCTTACTGACCCCCCAACTTTTCTGAGCTATTAAAAGGTCAGTGGGGTCTTTGAAAATACCCGATACACATAGGCTAGCTTAATCATTTTATGATGTTGCATGCTTCTTGGAATTTATGTCTTGTAATTTAAGATGGTATAAGCAGCTGTTTGTTTTTATGTAGGAATCTCTTTTTTTGGGGGGGTGGGGTGGTGTTGTAAGTGTTATTACTATTTTGACTTAACGTTAGTAGGAAAATATCAGTAAACTTGCTGAGACTGCAATATACTAAAATACACCTGTGTTGGGTGTTGATGGATCAGCTTATCTGAAGAATGGCTTGCTCTCAAAGACTGCATGCTGAGTTGAGCTGCACTTCAGAGGTGTAGAGTGTCAGTGCAAGAGGAGTTTCCCAAATGCAGGAGCTCAGCAAAGCAGGTTATGGAGCACATTTCCACAGATAAATAAGAAAGAGAAATGCTAGTTTTACAGGTAGGTTTATAGCCTTGCATGAAGAAATTAAAAAGTAAACAGGGTCTATATTTGTTGTGGAGATGATTATTAAATGAACTCGCTTTCGTGTTCTCCTGTTTATAGATATGTGACTTATGAATGTGTCTGTTTTAATCAAGAAGTATTTTATTTGTTTTTCAACAGTGCCATGTCCTCGGGGAAGTAATCAGGATGGTACACAAATGCATTATTAGAGGAACCTGCTGTAATTTGGGCTTCTGATCAACCAAACATTTTCAGTTGAGACTCCACCCTTGTTTTTTCCAATTTGAGGAGTTGATATCATCTTAATCACACACCAGGAATTATACTTCAGACTTCCAAAGTGAGTTCATGATATGGACAAAATGGAAAGTGTAGCCCAGGAGTCCAGAGCTGAACGGATAGCTCGCTACAAAGCAGAGAGACGCCGAGAGCTGGCCGAGCGTTACGGCAGCCAGGAAGAGGAGCTTCCATCTAACTGGTCGAGAAGAGAGAGGGAAGGACGCGGCGGCCGTGACTCTACCTATGCGGATAAGTCTGTTTCAGGAGGAATGAATGGAGGGATGGGGAGGAATGGACAAACGCCACTGGAAGAGAGGCCTGTTCCTGCAAAGATCTCCAATGGGTGTAAGGTGAACGCCTGTGGAGAGAACACACACCAAAACAGGTCAGCTTTCCTGTGCCTTTGTATCACACAAAAATTTGTGACATTCCTCTCAGCCCAACTAATTGTAATTTTGGTCACAGTTCACTTTAAGGTCCAATTCTCGCAATTAACAAGCCATTAACTGTGTCTTTTGTCTCAATAAACTCATAATTTGCTGATTATTAATAGTTAGTACAGTAGTTGTTAAGTTTAGGTATTGGGTAGGATTAGGGATGTAGAATATGATCGTGCAGAATATGTGCTTTATAAGTACTAATTAACAGCCAATATGTTAACAATAGGCATGCTAATAAGCAACTAGTTAATAGTGAGAATTGGTCCTTATACTAAAGTGTTGCCAAAATTCAAAATCATATTGAAAAGATCAAGTTGAAATTTTTCTTATTTACTTTCCTAATACACATTCCTGGTTTTACTGTGGGCATAAGAAAGGCATTACGGTAATTGCAATGAGGGAGATATGGAAAAATTTCTGCCAATATTTAGGCTGACTTACACAGGATTACCAGCTTTGAATATATTCTGATCCCCACTAGGTTTTGCTATATTTCTCTGTGCACTAAAAAAAAGAATATTTAGACCTTGAATTTGAATGACACGGTTTTAACATAAACAAACTAATTAACTTAATGTGTTACATATTTGACAGTCGTACAGACATGAAACAGGTCAGATATCTGTACTAAAAAAAAAAAGCATGGCATATTCGGTTATTAACAATTTGTATCTGTCTGATTTTATTAAAAATGATTTGCTTAAAATATGGCAAGTTGTGGAACAAGCAGTATTCAGTAAGTTCAAATGTGTGAGATTGAAACAAAGTTGATTTATTGATGATAAATATATAAACCTTGTGATTGTGTATTTAAAACACATTCAGTTTATTAGTACTATTACAGAAATCTTATTTGTTTAATGTATGTATGACTGGCAAATATGCATCACATTAAGTTAGTTTCTTTATGTCAAAACTGTGTAATCCAAATGGATGGAAATGTTATATGCAATTCAAAAACATAAATCATAAATTTAGGCCTAAATATTTTTTTCCAGCTACACTTTTATCATTCTCTATATCCACCCCTGTCCCTCTTGTCTCTCAGCTGTCCCTTCCTTGCACACTTTATTTCCTCCAGTTCTTGTCTCTAGTTGAAGTCTTCTGCCTCTCTCCAGGGAAAGTTTGTTGGGCTCGTCTGGTACAGTGGCTGGGGAAAACCCTCCAGACTCCCATGGGCCCTCAACCCCTGACACTCCTCAGTTACACACTCATGTATCAGTAGGCCAGCTGAAGAACGCTCTTCTACAGCAAACCTCGAGCCCAGCTCCGTCTGATAGAGTGTAGGGACGCCTCAGTGTGTGTGTTCATTTCCTGCTTCATTCTGTTTGTATTACCCCAGGCAAAACATTTACACTAACTCTAACACTAGTATTTTACATAATAATTTCACTTTTTTTCATAAAGTGTCCACTTTAAAATATGTTTGAAATTGCCCTATAAACGCTGTATATATTTTAATATACAATCCATATTAATATAATGTATATGCTACTATTCAAAAGTTTGGGGCCATTTTTTTTTTAAAGAAGTTATTATTTTTATTCTGCAAGGATGCATTAAACTGGTCAAAAGTATAATTTCTATTAAAAAAAAATGCTGTTATTTGAACTTTCTATTCATTTTAAAATCTTGAAAATATATCAGTTTCTAAAAGTATATTAAAGGGGTCATAGGATGCTACATGCACTTCCACCCAGTGTTTTAAAAAAAAAATCTGGTTAAATGTTTTCCCCTGCGTTACTTTATTAGTTACTTGAAAAAAGTAATCTGATTACGTAACTCGCGTTACTTGTAATGCGTTACCCCCAACACTGGCTGTCATTCATTGTTCATTGTTATCCTTGTATGCTAAATATTCAATTTTGGGGTTCACTTTAGTTTATCTTTATCACTGGAGTTTATTTCTGATCTCTTTATGTAATAAATTGTATTCTGTGCACATTTTGTGGTGCTAACACAATGCTAATGCGCACCTGTAGTTTTGGGGCAGTGTGTTAGATTCTGTCTAACACTCTACCATCTTCAGTGTGCTGTGAGGATAAACTCTGTGTGCAGAGCTCTTTTCTAATCTTTTCCTTTGACTCATTGCTTCTTTCTCTGTTTCTTTTTCCCCCACTCACACGTTCGTCCTCTCCTTCATCTGTTATGGTCTGTCTACTCAAATATTAGAGCCACTGATGATGGCGTGGTGGCCTTGACTCTTGACCTCGCAGTTCAACCAGGTGCAGAAGGAAGTCGTCGGCGTACCCGTCGATACATGCCAGGGGATTCTGCAGGGAGCCGCAAAAATAGTGAACGCTTTCGTACTCAACCCGTAACAGCCTGCGAGATAAAGGACATCTGCGGGTATGGAGACGCCTGTCTCTGATCTCCACTTCAGTGTGCCCGCAGTGTGCTTAAAGCAGTTGCTTACTATAGACACACTAACTTTATTGGGTGTTTTGCCTGTCATTAACCTTTTAAGATGTGACAAAAACCATTCGTACATGCAAATGCCTCTGATCATTGCTTCCATGCAGTACCATTCAGAAGTTTGTGGTCAGTTTTTTTTTTTTAAACGAATACTATTATTCATCAAGTAAGCTTTGAATTGATCAAAAGTGAACATTAATACTGTTACAAATTTTTTCTATTTTAAATAATTGTTTTTTTTTAACTAAAATGTTATTTTTAAATATTCATATTTTTGTATTTTCAAATTAATATTTTGCAATATTACTGGTTTTACTGTGCACGTTTTAAAGGTAAAAATAGTTTTGGTAAGCATAAGAAACTTATTTCAAAAACATCAAAAAATTGCACCGACCCCAACTTTTGAATAGTAGTATACAGTCGTGGTCAGAATTATTAGCACCCTTGGTAAATATGATCAAAGAAGGCTGTGAAAATAAATCTGCATTGTTAATCATTTTGATCTTTTATTTAAAAAAATCACATAAATCTAACCTTTCATTGGAGAATAAGAATTTAAAATGGGGGGAAATATCATTATGACATAAATGTTTTTCTCTAATACACATTGGACACAATTAACGGCACCCTTTTTATTCAATGCTTTTTTAAACCTCCATTTGGCATAATAACAGCTCTGAGTTTTCTCCTATAATGCCTGATGAGGTTAGAGAGCACCTGACAAGAGATCAGAGACAATTCCTTCATCCAATGCAGATTTATTTTCACAGTCTTCTTTGATCATATTTACCAAGGGTGCCAATAATTCTGACCACAACTGTATGTACATAAATTGGAGCATGTTTCTGCCACTGGATAAAAAAAAGAAAAAAAAAGAATGGTATTAATAAAAGGTAATTGTGACTTTTTATCTTACAATTCAGTTTTTTAGTTTAGTTTAGTTTAGATCTCTCAATTGCAAGAATTGCAAGATATAAACTCACAATTGCATGGAAAAGTCTAAACTGTGACATGAAAAATAGCAGTCACCTTTTTTTGTTTTTTATTCAGTGGTGGGAACAAAATAACAGAGTTCAGAGATGTAAACTCAGCATTCTGAGAAAAGAGTCAGAATTAGGAGATATAAAATCAGAATTGCAAGGAAAATGTCAGAATTCTGAGTTATCTCTATTAACTATTGCAATGCTCTTTTGGCAGGTCTTCCAGCCACTTCTATCAAACCTCTACAATTAATCCAAAATGCCGCTGCAAGATTAATCTTTAATGAGCCGAAAAGAAAGCATGTCACACCTCTGCTCATCAATTTGCACTGGCAACTCAATCTGAGCAGCTGAGTCCTTAGCCATTTTCAAGAAACGACTAAAAACACATCTGTTCCACCTTTATTTGACCCTCTAACTCTAGCACTTTCTATTCTATTTTAATTATACTTTATCTAGATTTATCTTCTTTTTTTTATTAAAAAAACAAAAACAAAAAACACTAGCTTTCTATTTTTCCTATTATATCTACTTGTTTTTCTTTGTGTGTGTGTGTGTGTGTGTGTGTGTGTGTGTTATATATATATACCTCTATACCTCATATTGTTGCTCTTTTGTTAGTTTTGACTGCTTTTATTGTCCTTGTTTGTAAGTCGCTTTGGATAAAAGTGTCTGCTAAATGACTAAATGTAAATGTAAATGTAAATCTCACAATTCTGAGTTGCGAGTTCTCAAAATTCTTTAAAAAAAAGTCTGAATTGTGAGATAAAAAGGTGCAATTACCTTTTTTTTATTTGGGTATAGGATTAAGGGATGTAGAATATGGTCATGCAGAATAAGACATTAATATGTGCTTTATAAGCACTAATAATCAACCAAAAGGCCAGTAACATGCATGCTAATGAGATAAGTGAGACTTGGCCCCTAAACCAAAGTATTACCACACACACACACACAGACACATTTATAATATATACACTTTGTTGAATCACTGCATAGTAACAAATAAATGTTTAAGAAAGTGCTGGGCGTGTTTGTTGTTATTTTAGTGATTTAAGAGTAAAATCAAAGGAGTTTTTAGTGCTATTGTACCTTTCAATATCATAACTATCTGGAATATATTAACAGATGTCAGAGATCATAAGTCAGCACAGTCCTTTCCTTTGAGTCAGGAAATGAACTCAACATGTATCTTATGTGCTAGATAGGATCATCAAACAGGGTGTGTGTGAGAGCTCATAGTTTTAATAGTTAGCATTATGTCATGCTTATAACCTGCACAGATGTGTCTGTGTCTGTCGCAATGCCTGTTGTGCAGGAGAGGCTTGTTACAGCAGATCTGGCGTGAAGTCATCTCACTTTTTTCTGTGTATCTTTTACTTTGCATGAGAAGGTTTGAGTGAGTGGTTGAGTGTGATTGTCTGGTGCTTCCTGTTACTCTGAGAGTTCTCGTTTTTTCTTTATTTCACAGAAGAATGGACGATGAAAATCAAGACAACTCACAAAGTAAGTGCATAAAATTGCTGCATTTTTTATTTAGGTGATTTAAGTAATTAATTCATGTGGTTCCAAAGTTAAAACCTGCAGTAAGAAGCTCATTGCACTTTTTGTTTTTTTTAGTAAATTAAGCTAAAACTCAAATAATTTTGACAAGATAAATAGGTGAAAACAAAGATGATGGTATAATACTGAAATATTTTTGCAATTAATTGTTGATGAAATTTTAGTATACTTTTCAAAAGTTTGGGGTTGGTATAACTTTTGATGCTTTTTTAAAGATCTATATTGTGAAATATTATTACAATTTAAAATGAAAATGTTTTCTATTTTAATATATATTAAAATGTAATTTATTTCTATGTGCAAAGCTAAATTTTCTGCATCATTACTCCAGTCTTCAGTGTCACATTTTCTGTCAGAAATAATTTTAATATGCTTATTTGCTGCTCAAGAAACATTTATGATTAATATCAATGTTGCTTAATATTTTTGTGGAAACCGTGATACGTATTTTGCAAGATTCTTTGATTTACGTTTACATTTATTAGTTTAGCAGACACTTTTATCCAAAGCGAATTCAGTTATTTATTTGATGAATAGAAAGTTCAAAAGAACACCATTTATATGAAACATTGTAAATGTTATTATTTCCACTTTTGATCAGTTTAATGCTGAATGAAGTATTGATTTATTTGTAAAAAAAAAAAAATCTTACTGACCCAAAACTTTGATCGGTAGTCTATATACTGTAGTATTTACATGTATAGCAGGTTTTTTTTTTTTGGTCAATGATTGTTTAACTGTAGTCTGAGTGGCCTTTCATAAGTTTTGTAACTCTAACGCTACATAGTATCAATGCAACGTAATACCTATTTTAAAAATAACATTTTTATAGTACTGCTAGTTTTATGATGGAATAAAACGATGGATCAAAGTGAGACTGTGTGTAGTGGAAGTGTGTAGGATACCATAGTAAACCAAAACATAAACACACTCTTATACACTTTTACACATGCAAATATTTTGAGTAAGTGGATACTGTCGTATAAACAGTTATAATGACCTCTGTTTTATTACCGGAGAGAGGATAAATCTTAAGAGGCTGCATTAGAGCAAGCTTAAAGAGTGATAAATATAAGTTATGCTTTTTAGGACAGTAATAAGCCACACAAAATCATCTAATCATCTAAAAACACAGTTAGCAAAATGAACCAAGTTCACACATCACCTGAGAGACAAACAGAGGGAAGAAATGTGTGTGTGTGTGTGTGTGTTTGAGATCAGCCGTAAATCTGCCAGTCAAGAGAAGTACACACAGGTGAAGAATACATCTGCCAGGCCGTGTGTGAGTTTGGCCAAACACGGAGCAATGAGTTTATGAGTGCATGAGAGAGTAGGTATGATATGTTTGTTAGTCATTTAGTGATCTCACACAGACATTTGGCCATTATGATCTAAGTTGAATCAAATGCACATGTGTGTGCGCGTATGCATAGTTTTATGGCCAAATATTATAAATATTAAATAATATTTTAAATAATTCTGAAACTGCAAAAAGTCTTTTAACGGAAAGGATTGAGCTACAGTTAATTCATTATAGTTCCTTAATCAACTCTGAAAAACAGTAGTAGTTATGGTATGTCCTCAATTAGATAAATATGTGTCTGTGTGTGTGTGTGAATCAGCACGGTGATCCTTTTCCACATGTAATGTGTGCTTGCTGTTTTTCTTGCAGTGGATGTAAAGACAGATGACAGAGCCAAGATGAGTGTAGCTGCCAAGATGTCTCTGTTTAAAGTAGGTGAAACAAGAGCCCACCATATCGCTTTAGCAACTGCTGCAGGCTGAAAAGAAAAAGGTCATTGCCATGGATGGAATACACACACACCTTGTATATATTTACCCGTGTGGGGACTTCCCAATTTACTGTTCTTAATAGAAGCTAATTATATATACTGTAGTGTAGACTATACTTATCCGGTACCATAAAATACACCTTTTGGTGTTTTAGTATTGAGTACTTTTATGATTATTCTGTTTTGTCAGGCATCATTGTCTTATATTTTCAGAAATTACACACTCAGAGCATACACTCACATACAAAGTTCTTCCAGAGTTTTTTGTTTTTGTTTTTTTAGAATAAAGCAAATATACGAGTTGTGAAAAACAACTTCTAGGAAACATTAGATGATTAATTTTGAATGCACTCATTTAAATCTCTGGGTATGTGTAATTTTGGAGTACTCTCTCTCTCTCTCTGTTTCTGATCCAGAAAGTTTTTTCTTCTCTGTTCTTTCGCTTTGTCTGTCTTTGGACTGTAGGTGGTAATAAGACACCTGGAGTGTTTGGTTACAGCGTGACCCACTGGGTTTCATTGGTTATTGTGTCTTCCTTACCCAGAGTGCCAACCCAGGCTCTATTTTATTCATTCTGCCATTGACCCACTTCAACAGAGACATTTAAAATTGTATTGCAATTTCATTTTTGCCGATACAGAAATGACAGGAATTGTTCACCTAAATGTTCACCTATGGTAATTCTGTCATTCATTCATCCACATGCTGATGTGATTATGTGGATGATGCGGGGAACACATAAGTAGATTTTCACAAAAATGTTTTATGTACAATGAAAGTGAATTGTGACCAGGGACAAAACGTGGAGTATATTAGAGTGTATGCCAACATGAATGTAACGACTGAAATCTGAAATCACTTTTATGGTCATTTTTTGAGTTTGATGGCCCTTGGTCACCATTCACATTTATTTTAAGTAGCATGAACATTCATTCGTTAATTTTTGATTTATGTTGTTCCTCTTTTAGGAGTTGGAGAAGACAGCTTCACCTGAGGCTTCCTCATTCCTCAAACCTCGCTCCAGTAATAGTTTCCATGAGTGCAGAGTTCGCCGTAACAACGATCCTCGAGCACTCACTCAGCCAATCACCTTTGAGGAAACAGTGATGGCAGCGAGGTAAGGCAGGACTAATTTCTTGCCGCTTAACGCTCCATCTGTCTCACAATCTCTAGCTTTACTCACAACAGAAGAGCCACTGTTACATTAAAAAGTAATTCTGAGAGTTAAAGGGGTCATATGATGCGATTTCAATTTTTCCTTTCTCTTTGGAGTGTTACAAGCTCAATAACAAGCTTATTAACTCTCTATTATTCTTCCTCCAGTCCACAGGCAGGTGAGGCTGAGCCTGAGGTGGAGGATGATGTTGGCACTAAACTGTCGATGAGTGAGAAACTGGCTCTCTTCAACAAACTGTCTCAGCCCATATTGGGTGCTGTGGGGAGTCCCGCGAGAGACGGCAGCCCTCTAGAGGCCTCTGAGAGACGCAGACAGAAGGGTGCACGTTACCGCACACAGCCCATCACTGTGGATGAGGTCAATTTGGTAAGTGTATTTGCTGTGTGCATAAACATACTGTGTAGGTCTGCATATCTGTGATTACTAGAAGTCCTCTCCATTTGCCACTTGTGGAGTAACTGTTAAATCTGTCTAGTCGGTATGTATGGTGAACAAATCAGTGTGTTACAAGAGCTTTAGATCTAGTGACCCTCATGAAAGGACCAGATGTTCATGCTGGTTTATGCTGGCTGGTGCATGTTTAGCTGGTAGACCAGCATAGCAATTTTTCTTAACTCTTTCACCCCAGTGTTTTTTTGTTTTGTTTAAAGTTGCCAGTCACTGCCAACATTTTTGATAATTTTCACAAAAATCTTATGGCCCCCAGAATATTTTGCAAGTATGAATATCTAAACATGCAATGTCAAAAGAAAGAGCTTCATGCATTCATTTTTTATTAACACTTGAATGTTGATAGTTTTCATTACAATGCAACATTTTGAATAAAATGCTGAGAAAAATCAAACTTTTGTCAAAGAATATGTCTGGATCGGATTCAGAATGATGTTCAAAACATAGATAGAGAGTAGATTGCATCCATCAACACATCCAAAGCTTGCACAGTCCTATACCACTTCCTGGGTTGACATTTCATTCAGTATAAATTGCTAATTTAAAATAAAAATAATTAATATGGTAGAAATACTGGTCATTGGAATTATGATATTTGCAGTAATGCAATTTTGCGGCTGCAAATCTTCCATTGATATATATATATATACAGTGGTGGCCAAAATTATTAGAACACTAGTATTCACACATTCATTTTGCCATTAATTGTACAAATCCAGTGAGATTTTTGTTTGCGCAAGGAGTCTGACAACAGCCAGTGCTCCACACAGAGATCTTGATTATTACAATTAATGGCAAAATGAATGTTTGGAAATATAAACTGATATTTCCGACTGACACACTACAGCAAAGGATAGAAATAACTGACTTAAAACCAGTTTTTAGCTGGTGAAAATACTAGAGTTCTAATCATTTTGGCCACCACTGTATATATACAGGGAATTGTTTATTTTGTGACTATAAATTCTAGAGTACCTGCTCTGGTTCTTTCAGAGACATTGACAAGCTTTCTTCCACTCTTAGCTTCAGAAAGGGCCTGTTGAGCTTCCTCGTCTTCATCTGGCGCCTCACCTCTCTGACCGACAGCAGGCTGAGTCCATTAATCTTAAGCCCACTGTAGTGCATCTCTCTGGGCTGAGCTCTTCACAGGAGTGGGGTTCCTCCTCCGAACTCACCTCATCACCCCATCTGAAGCCTGCATCAGACAGCAACTCCCAGAATGCAGTGCAGATTAAAGGCATCTTGAAAAAGAGCTCTTCGGAGGGAGTGGTGTGGAGGAGTGAAAGCAGAGACCGGGATAACCTGAACGGACACGACCTGGAGCAGAATGGGAGGGAAAGGAGAGAGAGAGCAGTTATAGAGGAGAGACAGGTGTCACCTGTGGAACCGGCTCCTCTCTCGAGTGCTCCCTGGAGGCAGAGGGCAAGGAAGGAAGCCTCTGCATCCTCTGGCAGAACACGGAGATCTGCTCCTAAGCCTGAGTTACTTCCGTCTCTATCAGAGGACCTCCAGATCACTGAACAGAGCAGAGAATCAGCCATCAGTGACAGGTTCTCTCCCTTTTGACATTTCATTCAGTATAAATTGCTAATTTAAAATAAAAATAATTAATATGGTAGAAATACTGGTCATTGGAATTATGATATTTGCAGTAATGCAATTTTGCGGCTGCAAATCTTCCATTGATATATATATATATACAGTGGTGGCCAAAATTATTAGAACACTAGTATTCACACATTCATTTTGCCATTAATTGTACAAATCCAGTGAGATTTTTGTTTGCGCAAGGAGTCTGACAACAGCCAGTGCTCCACACAGAGATCTTGATTATTACAATTAATGGCAAAATGAATGTTTGGAAATATAAACTGATATTTCCGACTGACACACTACAGCAAAGGATAGAAATAACTGACTTAAAACCAGTTTTTAGCTGGTGAAAATACTAGAGTTCTAATCATTTTGGCCACCACTGTATATATACAGGGAATTGTTTATTTTGTGACTATAAATTCTAGAGTACCTGCTCTGGTTCTTTCAGAGACATTGACAAGCTTTCTTCCACTCTTAGCTTCAGAAAGGGCCTGTTGAGCTTCCTCGTCTTCATCTGGCGCCTCACCTCTCTGACCGACAGCAGGCTGAGTCCATTAATCTTAAGCCCACTGTAGTGCATCTCTCTGGGCTGAGCTCTTCACAGGAGTGGGGTTCCTCCTCCGAACTCACCTCATCACCCCATCTGAAGCCTGCATCAGACAGCAACTCCCAGAATGCAGTGCAGATTAAAGGCATCTTGAAAAAGAGCTCTTCGGAGGGAGTGGTGTGGAGGAGTGAAAGCAGAGACCGGGATAACCTGAACGGACACGGCCTGGAGCAGAACGGGAGGGAGAGGAGAGAGAGAGAGGTGATAGAAGAGAGACATATGACACCTGTGGCTCAATCTCCAGCTCCTCTCTCCAGCACTCCCTGGAGGCAGAGGGCAAGGAAGGAAGCCTCTGCATCCTCTGGCAGAACACGGAGATCTGCTCCTAAGCCTGAGTTACTTCCGTCTCTATCAGAGGACCTCCAGATCACTGAACAGAGCAGAGAATCAGCCATCAGTGACAGGTTCTCTCCCTTTTACTGTTTCGCTGTGTGTGTCTTGTCAGATATAGGCTACGCTACGTTTCAAAAGTTTGGGGTCATCAGGAAGGATGCAATAATTTGTTTAAACATTACAGTAAATAAAGGGAAATGAAGTACTCCTTCGCAGTCAGTTCAAACAATACTGATTCAAAAATGTAAAAACAGATACAGATTAGTCAGTGCTGCTGACATCAAACTTTGCACGTCCAATAAGAGTAAGGTGGTGCCACGTTTTATTTCGAAGTATTACCAAGATACAGCCTCACTTCCTGTTTGGGGCTCTTGGTATTGAAGTTCCATGGACATTTAATTCATTTTAATTAAATTCTTTACATATATTCAGAATTCATTATATTTGCACATAATGACTTTAAAGATCACTCAATTCAGTCTAATGGAAATCTGTCATACAATTGGAATCTAAATCTTTAAAACAGTTTTTCTAAGTGAAGGAAGAATTGTGAGTTTAAACCAAAAGTTATTTTAAAGTTATTATGATGTTTTTTGTTCCTTTTTGTGAGATTTTTATAAGTAGGTGGCACTGCTTCATATTACAAACTGTATTGTGTTTGTATTTGTTGTCATATTTATTTTTTAATTTATTATTATTATTTATTATTTTCATTGCACATTCATAGAATTTCTGCATTTCAAAAAATGAGGTGGATTGGGTGTTAAAAAGTTTTTTTTTTAAAACACATTTCTGCAGTGTTTTGACTAGTGCTGTCAAACGATTAATCGTGATTAATCGCATCCAAAATAAAAGTTTTTGTTTACATAATATATGTATGTGTGCTGTGTATATTTATTATGTATATATAAATAAACACACACACACACACACACACATGCATGTACAGAAGCTCATAGCCCAAGTTGCTTGAAGTCCAGTGTTAAGTTTCCACAGTCTGTGATGATTTGGGGTGCAATGTCATCTGCTGGTGTTGGTCCATTGTGTTTTTTGAAAACCAGCGTCACTGCACCCGTTTACCAAGAAGTTTTGGAGCACTTCATGCTTCCTTCTGCTGACCAGTTTTTTGAAGATGCTGATTTCATTTTCCAGCAGGATTTGGCACCTGCCCACACTGCCAAAATCACCAAAAGTTGGTTAAATGACCATGGTGTTGGTGTGCTTGACTGGCCAGCAAACTCACCAGACCTGAACCCCATAGAGAATCTATGGGGTATTGTCAAGAGGAAAATGAGAAACAAGAGATCAAAAAATGCAGATGAGCTGAAGGCCACTGTCAAATAAACCTGGGCTTCCATACCACCTCAGTAGTGCCACAAACTGATCACCTCCATGCTACGCCGAATTGAGGCAGTAATTAAAGCAAAAGGAGCCCCTACCAAGTATTGAGTACATGTACAGTAAATGAACATACTTTCCAGAAGGTCAACAATTCACTAAAAATGTTTTTTTTTTTATTGGTCTTATGAAGTATTCTAATTTGTTGAGATAGTGAATTGGTGGGTTTTTGTTAAATGTGAGCCAAAATCCTCACAATTAAAAGAACCAAAGACTTAAACTACTTCAGTCTGTGTGCATTGAATTTATTTAATACACGAGTTTCACAATTTGAGTTGAATTACTGAAATAAATGAACTTTTCCACGACATTCCAATTTATTGAGATGCACCTGTATATATTGCAGAAAAATAGGTTATGTTTATATTTTAAATGTATTTATTTATAATATAAATTATATGAATATAAATATAGACATGTGAATACATGTAAATATTTTCAAAATATATACTGTATGTGTGTGTATTTATGTGTACATAATAAATATGCACAGAACACACACATACATTATGCAAACAAAGACTTTTATTTTGTATGCGATTAATCACGATTAATCGTTTGACAGCACTAGTTTGGACCCTATTAAATGAGAAAACCTTGTCCGCAGGCTGACAGACTCAAAAGGAGCTGAGAAAGAAGAGGAGAAGCAAAATGCTACGGAAAGGTGCAATATCAGTCTAAGCAGTGCGCCACAGGTTTGTGAACTGTATGTGTGTGGTACAGTAGATGATAATTTCATTGTGTTTTCACAGAGAGCTAAAGTTTGAGGTTTATTCATATTTTTGTGATTAAATGAATGCATCAGCACGTGTTTTTGTGGTCAAATGTACATTGGCATGCAGCATGTGAGTCACAGGTGTCAGTCTAATTTTTCCTCTTGTCTTTCTCCTCCCTGGTTTCCACACTGCTCCCTGTAGGATGAGAATGTCACTACAGCTGAGTCTAACCCCCAAACTCAATGCTGGGTAAGAATGTTATGTGTTTTTACAGGTTAATGAATGAATGAATGAATGAATGAATGAATGAATGAATGAATGAATCAATCAATCAATCAATCAATCAATCAATCAATCAATCTCCTCTCCTCTCCTCTCCTCTCCTCTCCTCTCCTCTCCTCTCAGGAGCCTGTGTTTTCCTCTGTGTACTCTTTTTCAAGCTCCACACCTCAATATGTGATGTTTTTCAATGAGGTGAGAATTTCTTTCATTTTTTGTCCACATTAAACAGTTGGTGTGAATTTTCATAATATGACTGTGAATGTAATGAATGTGTTCATAAACTGCTATTGCTCTAAGCCTGTGCTTTTCAACACAACATCGGTGCGTCTGTTTTACTGTATATTGTATCGTGAATGTGTGTGTGTGTTTTTGTTTTTGCTTTGGCTGCCTTGTCATATTAAGTTCCACAGAATATTTGAGCAAAACATTTTCAACATTTAACTGTCAATTATGGTATGTCATTGATTTGATTTAGCTTCGACCGGCAGACCTAGACAATTGGTATTATTATACTCTTCTTCTTTCTTTTTGCCTCTCTAGAGGAGTCTTTCTTATGAAGCTCAGGAGGTTTGCACAACCACTCAAACCCAACCACAGGTGACAGGGAGAGTCAAGGTATTTTAAAGATACATAGACAATACTGTTAAAAAGTTTGGGGTCAGTAAGATTAAAAAGAAAGAAATGAATACTTTTATTCAGCAAGGATGCATTAAATTGGTCAAAAGTGAAAATAAAGACTTCTACATTGATACAAACAAATTATATTTCTAGAATTTCTACTGTTCTTCTTCTGAACTTTCTATTAATCAAATAATCCTGAAAAAAAATCACTTTCCACAAAAATATTTAAACAACTACAAAAATGTTTTAAACATTGATAATAAAGCGGTTGGTGGAGCCGGCATCACACTCTCTTAACAGTGGCGACTGCTTTCTGCTGGTCACACCCTCACACTGCTTCCTCTGGACTGGAAAACTCTCCAACACCATTGAGAGAGAAAAGGTACATCAGTTCACACAGAAACAGAGTGATTCCTATGGAAGCCCGTTTCCGCCACTGAATAAAAATGTAGGCTAATTGTGACCTTTTTTATCTCACAATTCTGACTTTTTCTCACAATTGCAAGTTTACATCTTGCAATTCTGACTTTTTTCTCTTAATTGCGAGATATAAACTCGCAATTCTGAGAACATATCATTTTTTTCCCCTCAGAATTGGACTTTATAACTCGGTTTATATCTCACAATTGCGAAAAAAAATGTCAGAATTGCGAGATACAAACTTGCATTTGAGAGAAAAAAATATGAATTCTGAGTTTTTATATCACAATGCTGAGAAAAAAGTCAGAATCGTGAGATGTAAACTTGCCATTGCAAAAAAACAAAACAAAAAAACCTGCAATTACCTTTTTTTATTTTCTATTTAGTGGCATAAATGGGCTTCCATAGATTCCTGTTTAAGCATTACAGTAATTTTTCCACTGTAAGCAGTATATTTTTGGGTGTACAATAAGATATAAAATACTAAGGAAGTGTTTTTATTTATTGATAAATTGTATTTTATTGAAATAAATGTAATAAATAAAATAATAATATGTAATTAAATATTAATTTAATATGATTATTATTAAGCTCAGGTAAATCTCACATACTACATTTAATTTAATTAAGATCTTGCATGTCTAAACATGTAGTATTATTGTTGTCTCTTTTTGTGAATGGGATTTTGAGGAATGGGCTTTAGCTCCTGGATGTTGACTAATGGTTTGTTCCAGGCGTCTGAAATGGCCTCGGTGATTGTGACCCAGAGGGATCTGGGTTGTCAGGCAACAGGTGTTATTCACCTGGATGAAGGTGTCAATACAGACAGCCTGCAGGCAGCAGAGTTCTGGAAACTTCTCGGGGGACAGACCCAGTATAAAGGCAAGAGACATAACAGAACATTTCCTATCATAAACACCTTTGTTTCTCAAAACTGCTCAAATGACATTTGTATGTTTTTCTCTGCAGGTCCAGACAGTGCTGATGATGATGAGCACTATGAGAGAGCCATATCAGAGTCAAACTGTATTTATAGGCTGCAGGGGGTCAGACTCAGTCCTCATGAGCAGGGCTGGGCTGTCGTACCGGACCTCAGTCTTCTGAACTCCTCTCAGGTCCTGATCTCACTCCATACTATTAAAGAATGACATGATATCAGAGTCAAACTGTATTTATAGGCTGCAGGGGGTCAGACTCAGTCCTCATGAGCAGGGCTGGGCTGTCGTACCGGACCTCAGTCTTCTGAACTCCTCTCAGGTCCTGATCTCACTCCATACTATTAAAGAATGACATGTACTTTATATGCAGCTTGTGATTATACACGATGAAACCGCATTTAAGGTGTTTCGTGAAATGTAATGACAGTACTTTTTCCATTCCAGACTCTGCTGTTTGACTTCGGCAGCGAGCTCTATTTGTGGCACGGTAAAGACGTGGGCCCCAGCGAGAGGAAACTGGCCCTTCAGCTGGCTCAGCAGGTTTGGGACGGAGCGTATGACTACAGCAACTGCAGGATCAACCCTCTGGATCCCTCTGGTGGCAATGCCCATATTCACAAGTACGTTCACTGGAATAGGAGTGTTTTCATGTATTGAGCTACAGTGGAGTCTAAAAGTCCACTAGTGAAAATACTTATGTTTTGCATTCTTTAAAATAAATACAGTTTTTTTTAATTACAAATTTAAATATCTCTTTTGTCCCTTTTTTAATAACAGCAGCACTTGAGCTGCATGAACTCCATTTGTTTGTGTAAATGTATAAATTATGTAAAACGTATATAATTTTTTTAAATTAAAATAATGCTATTATATATTTTTTTGTACCACGGAATTAATAAAAAGGAGTTTTAAGATGAAAGCAGTCAGTGGAATACCCTATTGCATAACCTATTACTTGTTATCATAAACAAATGTGCTAATTTTGTGTGTTCAGGCAGGGTATTGGACGACCAGACTGGGCACTTTTTGGCCGTGTGTTTGACCAAAACGAGACGATACTGTTCAAAGAGAAGTTTACAAACTCATTTGAACAGACAAATGTGAACAAAAATAACATTGCTCCATCCGTACAAGAGGAGGTGAAGGTGAGGAGACTGATTGATATACACAAGTTATGATAACAACATGTCATATGTTTTTCTTTCATACTTATGGATTCCGTCATCCTCAACATTTTTTTTATATTCTTACTCTCCTCTGGTGACTGGTTTTCACTTTGAAGTAATTTCATATTCTCTCTTTCTAGCTCAGTAATGTCTTGTGTCTTTTCTCCAGACCCCCTCACTCAAGTCATCTCCCCAGCCAGTGTCGGCTGAGCAGTGGTCATGTGATGCCAGAGCTCTCTTTGGCGGAGTCTGTCTCTCAGGGGTGTCTCAGATTGTTCTGGATGGTGTGGATGTACGAAAGGGACGGGACACGGTCACTCTGAGTGATGGCCAGCAGGCGGCGTTATGCACCCTTGCAGTGAAAACGTGGCTTATTTCAGAGGGTGAGGAGTGTGAGGTTTCCCCAGAGAGCTTGGGACAGTTCATTGAGGGCAGCACGTATGCTGTATGCTGGACGTACAGCCTCACAGCCTTAGGTGAGTTCATGTGTGGGCAAGACCTTTTAAACTGAATGGCCTTAATTGTGTTATGGCAGCGATTCTGAACCAGGTGTAAATATAATCAAGGGGAATATTATTTATATTAATTTGTTTGTTAAAACTTTAGAATAATGAATTCATTTAGAAATAATTCTGAAAATAATTAATTTAGACTACTCTCGTTATTTTTTTAAGAATAAAAGTATAATAATAAGAATAATTTAGAATAATAAGAATAATATTGCTTGAGGAAAAGGTGCAAAACTCACTTCTAGAAAAATAAATGTAAACTTTATTGGTTAAAATCAACAACGAAATTAACAAAGTAACAAAAATGAACCATATTTGGCTATATATTATATAGTATAAAATAATATATTATATATTATTTAATAATATTACAATTTTAAAGTAATAAAATATTATGAATGATACTGTTGTGTTTATATTTGTTTGTTAAACCTTTAAAACATAATAATAAATTAATTCGCTGTATCTGTCTCTATACTGTGTATATATACTGTAGAACTTACATTAACATTTTTGAAAATTGAAAAATTTGAAAATTTAAATATTTTTGTAATAGTTGTTTAAGTTATTCTGTGTAAATGTATATAAACAATCTTCTATTTGTGTCAGTAATTTTTTTTACTATTTCACAGGAGATCAAATGGCAATAGGTCAGGAACGATCTGCTCTTTTCATCTGGAAGGGGCGGCACTCCAATGTCAGTGGGCGGGGCCTGTCATCAGCACTGACCAATCAGTGTAGTTCTCAGGTGTTTGTAACAGAAGGGGAGGAGCCGCCCTGTTTTCTGCAGTTGTTCCAGGGAGGAATGGTCATTTATAGACAACAACAAAGCAGAGACACAGGTCTGGTCGTTGAAATATCTAATCCTCTCCACTACTATGGGTCCACTCAATACATCTGACGTCATATGTTTGGTATGTGTTTCAGGAGGCTGGCATCTGTTCTGTGTGAGGGGTGACGTCCCAGTGGAGGGCAGACTGTTGGAGGTACAGTGCTCCTGCTCCAGTCTGAGGTCTCGTGGCTCACTGATCTTGTTGAATAGCCAGCAGGGGGCGATCTACCTGTGGCATGGCTGCAAAGCCCACAGCAAAGCACGTCAGGTGGCCAAGCAGACCGTCCAACGCCTCACACAAATGTGAGCAACACCTTTACAGTTCTGTATCATGTAAACTCATAAAACATAATAAAAGATGCACGTTGCCAGATTGTGCTTGATTTCATGTGGTTAATGTGATGATTAGGTGCCCACCTGAGCTGAGTCTGAGAACTGGCAGCTTTATGAATGTCCAGGAAGTGGAGGAAGGGAAAGAGCCTGCAGATTTCTGGAATGCTATTGGACCACAAGACAGGAAGTCATATGACTGCATGCTACAAGGTGTGATGTATAACAAACTTTGATAAATCCCACATGAGCCTGTTACTTTTTGTCATGCAATGAACATTTGCAACCATTTTTTCACAAGAGATGAATTTCATTCCTTCTAGATCCTGGTAAATTTAATTTTACCCCCCGCCTTTATCACCTGAGTGCCCAATCAGGAACGTTCAAAGGGGTGGAGCTTATTAGCCCCTCCCACGTGAATGGTGTCATTACAGCAATGCCCTTCCTCCAGGATAAGTTATATGCTGTGCCACATCCAGGTGAGAGTAAGCAAGTTCACTTATACTGTACACAGAAGCACAAGTGCAGATAAAAAGTCTTTAACACTACACGTAAAGCGATATATTTAGTACTTAAGGAAGTTGACAGACAAACGTTTAAAATGAGATAAATCTTAATATAATATGCACTATTTTTCTCTCACACTGCTATGATGTTGTACCATTCTCTTGGCAGCACTGTTCCTGCTGGATAACTATCTGGAGGTGTATTTATGGCAAAGTTGTGAATCTTCAGTCTCACAGGGCCCCCACTGGGACAAAGAGAAGAAGTGCGCCATGGAGACTGCTTTACAGTACTGCAAAGGTGAGTCTGGGCAAATGGAGGATATTAGAAAAGCACAGCCTTCTGTTTCTGATTTGGAAGTTATTGTTGGTGTTTTGTGTTCAGAGAGGAATCCTAGACGGCATCCCATGGCATATCTTATTGAAGAAGGGGCAGAGCCTCTCACCTTTACTAATATATTCCCTTCATGGGAGATGAGACTGACACAGGAAGTACAGGTGAGTGAGGACACATCATCATCATCATCATATACATGTGCATGTACAGAGGAATATGATTTACACTGAAATCTCATTTAAATATTTTTCCAGGACTGCACGGTGCGTAAAAAGCTGACTTTGGTGCAGGATGCTCTAGCTGCTCTTAATACGACCCAGTTCCCCCTTAAGGATCTGCTGAAGAGACCGTTACCTGAAGGAGTGGATCCTTTACACCTGGAGAACTACCTGTCTCAGCATGATTTCAAGGTTTAACACTAAAACATGATGTAGATTATTGTACGGTTGACTCACAAGATGAGCTTCAAAATGATCTGAATAGCAGCTTTTTATTGTCATCAGTTATTTTTACACTGTTGTAAATTGTATTAGACTTTACTGACATGTAAAGCAACAAATTACAGTTGAATTTGTTTGAACATGCTGTTTAAGGGCTGTTTTATCTTACATAGATTTAAATAATTAAGATATTTAATTAATTATTTCACTGACGCAAACTATCGTTTAAAAGTTTGGGGTCTTATGCTCACCAAGGGTGCATTTATTTAATCAAAAATACAGAAAAACTGCGATGCTGTAAAAATATTATTACAGATTAAAATAGTTGTTTTCTATTTGACTATATATCAAAATTTAATTTATTTCTGTGATCAAAGCTAAATTTTCAGCATCATTACCCCAGTCTTCAGTGTCACATGATCCTTCAGAAATCATTCTAATATGCTGATTTGCTGCTCAAGAAACATTTCTTTATTATCATCAATGTTGAAAACAGTTGTGCTGCTTAATATTTGTCTGGAGACCAGGTTACTTTTGCTTCATGTTCGTTGATGAATAAAAACTTTACACATTTATTTGGCATTTTATAATATTATAAATGTCTTTACTATTACATGTATTTAATGCATTCATGCTGAGTAAAAGTATTAATTTCTTAAAAATAAACTTACTGACCCCAAACATTTGAACGGTAGTATAACTTGGGGAAAAAAGGAAAATATGTGGATGTGTAGTTGACTACTAAGTCCCTTGAACATAACTCTGAATATCTTATAAATACAACTTGTTTTCCATGCAGACTGAAAAAAAAAGTCTTTCCGTGTCAGCCAATGAATATCAAGTAATATCAAGTAAACTGTCAAGTCCAACAGGATATTAATAAAATAATAATAAAGATATAGCAGGTGAGGTTTAAGTAGCTTCCCTGTTTTTTGTTTTAGGTTGCTTTGGGAATGACATGGAATAACTACAACTGTCTATCAGATTTACAAAAAATGGACCTGAAGAAAAGTAAAGGGCTTTACTGAGTGTCAGCAGTGACCTACGCTCAACAGAAGCAACATTTTAAAAGATGTGTTTGTAAGATGACATGTTCTTGATAGCACTCATGTGTACAGTGTAACTGGGAGTGTGCTAAACAGTGAGTGTGAGTGTGTGTCCTTTCGCTCTGCTTCCTTTCAGTCTGCTGCTTTTTTTAATGCCTGATGTCCAGCGCTCATTTTGGCCAAAAGCTTTCTACGCAAAGCTAGACAGAACTGTTTACTCTGACTTTGAGAAATAGCTGTCATGTTTTTCTTTTCTTCCTCCCCTTCCTCCATTGCAGCTGTTTCTCCTCCCTCTTTCTTCATCTCTCGCTGTCTGCCTCCTCTCTCTACACAAAGCAGCACGTGTGAGAGGTCTGATTGTTTTACTGAACTTACAGATGAATTTAGTAATGTTTATTTTAAAATAAAAATATCATGACATCTTTTCACCGTGAAACTTTTATTCACCTTTAAAAATCTCAAATTCATAAACAGTACAAGAATCAAAGAACAAATAGAGGAACAAACAAGGAATGTCAGTAACAAGATTGCTCCAAGAGGAAATGAAAAGAGGAAACACTCATAATCAACAACTGAATGTTGCAATATATTCTTAGCATTGAAACTGAATAGTATATGACTGATAACTGAAGTCAATACATGACATTACAGAGTCCTGAATGTGTGTGTGTGTGTGGCTGCTGAAAGTGTGAAGTGTGGTGGGGGTTGAGGGAAGGAATTAGTGTGGATTTAGACTTCATGTGACTCTGGTGAAAAATTACAGGCCATGTCTAGATAGCAGATGGACAAAAGAATGCGAGTGAGTTTTACTTGCTGCAAACTGTTCACAACCAGCTAGTTAACTGTTCAAAAGTTTGGGGTTGGTACGATTTTTATTTAAGAAATTAATGTTTATTCAGGATGCATTAAATGGATCAAAAGTGACAGTCAAGACATTTATAATGTTACAAAAGATTTCTATTTCAAATAAATGCTGTTGAACTTTTCATTCATTAAGGAATCTTTAAAAAGTTGCATTTTAAATGAAAAACCCTCAAATAAATTGTAATATTTCACATAATTAGTGCTTTTACAGTGGTTTTGATCAAATAAATGCAGCCTTGGTGAGCATAGGAGACTCAAAAATGTTAAAAAATATATTACTGACCCCAAACCTTTGAACATTAGTGTACACATCATGAGAGCGAAAAAATAAGAGAAAAATACTAATATGAAAGTGCTTTATCAACTTAACATGTCATATCAATTTGTGACTTGACTATATACAAACTGAACTGCAAAGAAGACTGAACTGGAAAAAAAGAAATAACCCATAATTTCTGCATCTTAATTTTTTGTGTATTTTTAGGGAGAGAAATAAAAGCAAAAAGATCTTAAAATGTAATATAAATCTTAAGGCTAATAATGAAAATGTCAATAATGTATGAAAAATTGTATTTTGTTAAAACAGTGCACTATGTAGTCTCAAATATAAGAGACAAGGTAGAAAATATAGACCTTGTTTGGTTTATACTCTATTTAGCGAAACCAATTTTTTTTCCGTTCGATTGTCTCTTTTTGGCATCTACATATAAATCCAGCATGAGGAAATATCAGACAGTATGATCACAGACTAACTATTGAACTGGGGTGCGTTTCCCAAAAGCATCGTTAGCTAACTATGGTAGTTAGTTCCATTGAAATCAATTGGTAACGACGGAACTTGCGACCATAGTTGCTTTTGGGAAACGCACCCCAGTTTAGCTAACACACTTAGCAATACCAATTAGAATTTTTGGACTTGGTTTATACATTCTTCTTTTTGATTGCCTCAGACATTTTTGGCTCTAGCATCTACATATAAATCCATCATGAGGAAATATCAGACAGTATGACTAGCAATTAAACTTGAATGTAACAGAGATTAAAGGGGTCATATGATGCTGCTAAAAAGAACATTATTTTGTGTATTTGGTGTAATGAAATGTGTTTATGCGGTTTAAGGTTAAAAAAACACATTATTTTCCACATACTGTACATTATTGTTTCTCCTCTATGCCCCGCCTTTTTGAAACGCGTCGATTTTTACAAAACTCATCGGTCTGAAAAAGCGAGGTATGCTGTGATTGGCCAGCTATCTACAGTGAAAGAGTGAGTTTGAAAGTACGGCTAAGCTAAGATGCCTTTCTCTGTCATATCATGGATGTGCTGAGGTATTGTCCACTAAATATCATATTCTTTACAGGTGCATTCATGCACATGTTCTTGAATAATGTGTGTACTGTACATACAGTATGTTTCTAAGTGACTCAGATCGACTGCTCTCTCTCTGGCAAACTTCTCTCTGGTTCAGATGCTAAAGCTGCCTCTCTCAACACGACCATGTGATCCTCGGCCGCATGCAGTGATTGGTCGATCCAGTCCAGGCTGCCAGACATGTGACAGGCGCTTCGTGTCACCAGTACCAAGTGACTGACCGACAATAGTAATGCTGTGGCCCTGGTCCAAAAAACAAGTTGGTAAAGTCAATGCACTTCCTTGCTGAAACGTAAACATGCAATAGTCCCTGTCAGCATAAGAAGTTACCTGGCGTCCAGAAGAATGGGGTCCAGTGGAGGGTACATAGATCGAACCACGTCATCCACCCTGTGATGGCACAAAGCAGCTCAGCGTCAGTACCCACTCTCAGATGTGTCGTATCAACTTCTCAAACTGTTTACCTCGGGCTGATGCGTTTGGCCACGGTGATGATGTCATTGAGGCTGGCAGGTGCTTTGACCTTTGCTCCAGAGCCCATTGTCATCGCAACAAGCTTTTCAGTGAGAGTGTGGCATATCTGTACAGAACCAGGACAATCATCTCATTAAACCAAAGCAAAAATGCTGTGTGCTGTTATACTTAAACGACTGTTCAAAAGTTTGTGGTTTGTAAGAGTAAGAAAAAAAGTTTAAAACTTTCATTCAGCAATGATGCATTAAATTGATTAAAAGTGAGAGTAAAGATATCTATAATGTTTCAAAAAAAATTTATTTCAAAGAAATTCTGTTCTTTTGAACTTTCTGTTTATCAAAGAATCCTGAAAAAAAAACGTACCACCATTTCCAAAAAATTATAAGCAGCACAACATTTTTAACACTGATGATGATAATAATAATAATAATAATAATAAATATTTCTTGAGCAGCAAATCAGCATATTAGCATGATTTCTGAAGGATCATGTGACACTGAAGACTTGAGTAATGACACTGAAATTTCAGCTTTGCATCACAGGGATAAATTACATTTTAAAACATATTCAAATAGAAAACAGATATTGTGAATTACAATAATTTCACAGTGTTATTACTATTTTTTTTACTACATTTTTGATTAAAAAACATTAAAATAATCTTACTGATCCTAAACTTTTGAACAGTAGTGTAATTATTATGCATGTCTCTAAATATTATTATATTATATTATATTATATTATGTATTTGGTCTTGAAAATGCTAAATTTGTGCACAAAAGTCTACCTTCAGAATCGCAATGCAGTGAGACACAAGACCACTGAGGGAAAGAGCGAGATATCAGATATCAATAAAGTGTCAAACCTAGAATATTATTATTAATAAAATACTATGGTTGTGAGGATGAACGAGGTGAGAAAGCATACGAGGCATCTTCGATCCAGTCTTCGTTCTCCAGCATGGCCTCAATGTGAGGATTAGTGATGACAACATCATCCAGCTCCAGCTCTGACGGTTCACTCTGAGTCTCCATCGCTCCGATCAGATCCACTGTAGGTCTGAAATACAGAGAAAAACAGGAGGTACAGAAAGCGATTAAAAAACACATGTCCATTATTTCCATGGCTAAGAATGAAATGTTGGAATGCAAAATGGTGATCCCCGTTTAATCCTCAGTGTGGGAATAAGGTCATGATTTATACACTCAAGTACATACTTGGAATCAAACTGGTGCAGGAAGTCTGGAGGGTGGCAGTAACGATGACGGCACACAACCACCAGCGCCAGAAATGATGCCAAGAAGATGGTGGCGAGTACACCTATGGCCACGATCACCACCGTCTCCATGGTTACAGATGAAGAACGACGAGGAGGATTGTCAGAAAGTTGTTTGGCTGGAGTTTGCAAAAGCTAGACGATTCTGAGCAAATAGAGATGAAACTTCCATGTTATATCAATATCAATTACCTTTATAAATGGTCTAACCTCTCTATCTATCATCTATCTTATTAGTAATATATTTATGTGAAACACTATCTTCTATCACTTGTATTTTTCCATTTTGTCTAGTTGCACCAAAGCAATTTAAGCCTTGTACAGGCTTAGTTTTATGTTTGCCCAAAATAGCAAAGAAAAAGGAGCATAAATACATTTCAGTATTATTGTGACATTTTGAGTAAATAATGATTTCCTCCAATTTGCTCTCCTTATGCTTCACTAAATACAGAGATAACAGCTTGATTTATATGCTTATCTTGATCATTCCACTCTTATCTAGACTATTTTTTAATTGAACATGTAAAGCTTCATTCATTCATCCTTTCTTTCCAGGGCCTCTTTGATTCTTATAGCAGTCTAAGAGCCAAAATTTTGTTTTTATGAGTATAAAAATAAAAAAAATTAATGTAGGAGTGTTTTGTGTACCTGTGTATGTAATTGTGTGTTTGTAAGGGTAACACCCATCAGAACTTTGATCAGTCGGTCATTAACCTGCTCACAGTATATATATGTGACACCATGTCTTTCTGTCATTATTGCTGTACTGTATGTATTTGGTGTGTTTGCTTTGCCCTTCAAGTCAAAACCAGAGGACTGCATATTTCAATTTGAGCATGAAAAGCCTTAAGTATCATGAAGTTATAGCTTTGATTTCCACCACAGTCTGTCATGTAAATTTAACAACTGCATCAATGAAAACATTATTTTTCATTAATCCCAACAATATTTTGTCTGTTTAGTGACTGAATGCTTATTGAACATGCACAGCTGTTACGACATATAAGAAGTAGTATTTCGATGAGATGATTATGTGAAATTGTGTTTTGGAATGCTGTAATTCCCTAATCGGATTAATTTGAACTCCCCTGGACGTATCATACTGTGCACTCCCCATAGGCACTAATTCAAATTCACCCTGGCATTCAGAGACACTGGATTAACCTACGGATTTGACAAACACAATGCATTTTGGGGACACTAAAACAGTTATGTTATCACAAATTTTACACAATGTAAGAGAGAAAACTAAGCCTTTGCATTTTGACACATTGGCTTGATACAGAAACTAGTCTTCAGTTATAGATACGCAGACTTTAGTTTGATAGCCATTGTGCAGCCAATCAGATTAAATATAAAGACATATCAATATGTTAAATTAAACCTTTTAACCACCAGGCAATAACAGCACTGAGAAGTGAGCCTAAAATGATCTATAACCCTGAAATAATCAGTTGCAACAAAGCCCAAATCATCTGCTGTTTGACTGTCAATCAATCAATCAATCAATAAACTGCTGTATGCGTATAGTGTGGTTGCCTTGCCATTTTAGTTAAATCAGGGCAAGACTGAATATTTCATTTGGAACTTTCAGCATAAAAAGCATCAGTTTATAAAATTAAAAGATATAGGCATAAATAAATGTAGATGTTTTTTGAGCCAATATACATTAGTGTGAGCACAATCTGTTGTTTCGTTATATCAATTATGGATGTTATGATGGATGTTATGGTGATTGAACGAGTCACCATTTTTCTCAGTAAATATATTTCTAAAGGTGCTGTTGACTTGAAAGTTTCACTAGATGTCGGTAACAATCCAAGTAATCCATACATACAAAGAAAACAAAACTAATAAGTTCAGAAATTAAGTTATGTGTAATAAAATGGAATGACTCCGGGAAAAAGTATTGAACACATGAAGAAAGGGAGGTGCAAAAAGGCATGGAAAGCTAAGACACCAGCTGAAATCTATCAGTGACTAAAAAGCAATCCTGCCCCTTGTCAGTGGAAATTAATATTAGCTGGTTCAGTCCCAACACCTACAGTACGAGGATGATGAAGGGTGGACATTTCAGCAAGACAATGATCCTAAACATAGCCAAGGAAACAAAATTGCTTTCAGAAAAAGAAAATAAAGCTGCTAGAATGGCCCAGCCAATCACCTGACTTGAATCCAATAGAAAATAAGAACTAAAGATCAGAGTTCATAGAAGAGGCCCACAGAACCTTCAAGATTTGAAGACTCTGTGGAAGAATGGGCCAAAATCACACCTGAGCAATACATGCGACTAGTTTCTCCATACAGGGGGTGTCTTGAAGCTGTCATTACCAACAAAGGCTTTTATACAATGTATTAAATACATTTCAGTAGTTCAATACTTTTTCCCTGTATCATTCCATTTTATTACACATAACTTAATTTCTGAACTTATTGGTTTTGTTTTATCTGGTGAAAATTTCGTCAACAACACCTTTAGAAATATATTTACTGCGAAAAATGGTGACGTGTTCAATACTTATTTTACCCGCTGTATATACATACATACATAGTGGTGTGCAAAAATGTGAGACCCACACTCTAAAAAAAGATGGTTCTTTAAAGGTTCTTTACATGCAGTAATTGTTTTATTTAGAACCATAGCATTCTGAAGAAACTTTCATGCTGAAATGGCTCTTTCTGTTAGAGTTTAGGGTTCTTTATTCCCGCCCTTTTGTTTTTCAAATCTGTAACTGACAAAGCACCTCATTACTGATTTTCTGGAGTTCAGTGATCCAACTACACAGACTGTCAACACA